ACCAATGGTCGAAGGCAGTTGCTGTTATTATCTCCCCCTTTAGAGATGACAAAACTGAAGCACAGAGAGTGAGATAACTTGCCCACAGACATGCAAATTGAGACACTATGAGTCCATGACAAGTTAGTACTATTCAAAAAGAGGTCTTATAACAGGAGCACTTTGGCCCAGCTCTAGAACTGATGCTCTGAACTTCTTTAGCCTCCTCTACAGTTAACAACTCAGGCAATTTAGTGTGATACATAACAATGAGCAGAAAGCAGCTCAGGAAAATGTGTGAACAAACCCCAAATAAAAGGCCCAAAAAATATGAAAAAGAAGAGCCAACTAGTAATAACAACCATCACTGAGTTTAGTATACTATGTCCAGAATAAAATGAAAATACAAGACATATTTGGAAACTGCGGTAACCTAACAATAATGAAAAACAAAGACTGGTGGCTTATTTTCATTTCACACTGTAGTTGAAAAAGATACATATATGAGGTCTGACAATTACATTTGCGAACTCATCCTAGAAAAAGTACTATACACCTGATTGCTGAATTATCACTATGGTCACCTCCGAAGTTCTCCCATTGGGAAGCTATGAACCAACACCAGCGCCTAGTCCACCCCTCAAAGCAATTTTGGAACTCTTTCTGGAATGGCCATCAGAGCTGTCATCGTACTACCCTTGATGTCCTGAATGTCACCAAAAGGTCTTCCTTTCAATATTTCCTTTATCTTCAGATAAAGAAAGAAGTCATTGGGGGCCAGATCAGGTGAGTAAAGAGGGTGTTCCAATACAGTTATTTGTTTACTGGCTAAAATCACCCTCACAGACAGTGCCGTGTGAGCTGGTGCATTGTTGTGATGCAAAAGCGTAGAAAGTTCAGATCATTTCCGTCTTTTTCACACAGCCTTTTCAGCACTTTCAAAATAGTAAACTTAGTTAACTGCTTCTCCTGTTGGTACAAATTCATAATGAATAATCCCTCTGATATCAAAAAAGGTTAGCACAGTCATTTTGACTCTTGACTTGGAGTGACAGAACTTCTTTGGTTATGAAGAATTAGCTGAGGGCCGGCCGAGTGGCGTGATGGTTAAGAATTGGCTTGGGACGCCAGAGGGTCCCGGTTCGGATCCCACATATGAGGGCCAGTGACACTGCCCTCCACAGCTAAGATGCTGAACAACAGCTCAACCTGGAGCTG